TCCTGCTGATACAGCTGAAGGAACAGATCTCCTTCTTTGTCCCTAGCAGCTCCAGGGAGAGCTGACAAGTGTCCCAGAGAGAGCCCACGCGGCCGAGGAGGGAGGATAGGCACAGGCAAAGCCCTCTCGTTCCCTATGGATCAGGCTCATCGGCCTCCTCAGCTATGAGGGGACGCGAGTGACAGCCATGTGGCTTTGCAGAGTGGGTATCTACAGAGCTGACAGCCCCGTTTTTGTCTTGCTTTGGGTTATCCCATTTGGCCTTTCCAGAGCAAGGACAGGCATGCTGTGATTCCTGTGTCCAAATAGCGGAGCACCTTTCCCATTGGCAAAACCACATGGGCTCATCAGTGGAGGTCCCCATGGGAACAGCGGGCCCTGCTCCAGCCTGGGGAGGGGGATGCTCTTATGCCTTAGAGAGTTTTACACTGAATCTGTTTAGATACTGTGGAAATAGGCCTCCTTTTCAATAAGATCATCTACACAGAGTTAATTCACCATTATTAACTACTCAGATTTAATACATAGTTAATCCACTTTAATAACCTCATCCCACCACATTCCTAATTAATGTCCATGTATAAACAACAGTTAAGTCTTCAAAGGCTCATCCTAGCCCTGCCTCAAATAATGCGGACATTTAGGAGGAGCAGGGGTCAAGTGCTCTGTTTTAGGGTCAAAAAAATGAAGGAGGAAGCAGGGAGGAAATTCAGAAGCTACCGGGGGTTTGGGAGCACAGGGTCCACTAAACCCTGGTAGGACTTTCCCCGCTAAACCATCCGTGCTTTAAAATTCCTCTCATGCCACACACTGAAAGCCAGGCCAGCAAAGAGGGGTGTTTCTGGGAGCACTACAGTGGCTGACCTTGCTTTCCTGTAGGCTGCTGGCTGGCCCCAAAGGAACAAGCTCCCACTGCAGCTTTTCTGCAGCCTGCGTGCTCGTAAGAGCTCCTTCGTGGTTCCCGGTGTGCAATGCTACAGCTGAGCCCTTGTGGTTTGCTGCTCCCTGTATTTCCATGAGGCTGGTTGGGATGACATGACTGGGGGGGCTCTAGCCCTCTGTCAAGTATGACTGAAGTTGGCCAATGGGATAAAATATAATAGTGGGAATCTTGGACAGACAGTACGATTCCACGAACTCAGGTTCCTTTAGCAATAAAAAACATTGCAATGACATAGCAGCCACGGCCTATTTCATCACTCACCAGGGCTCTGGGAGATGATATTTGTAACTCCTGAAGTTTTGACCTCTTGGCATATGGGGTTACTCAATTCCTGGTGTAGCTCCTTCCCTCTTGCAGGGCTGGGCCCCAACCTCTGTCCTTTCTGTGGACCCTTGGCTTCAATATTGACTTCTAAAAATAGAATAACTCTCTCTCACATTTCTGGCAAATCTGGAGCCCACCTGCTATAGAGAAGTGGAGTTTTCAAAGGAGCTTTTACAATATTTGAAGCCTCTGCTTCACATATGCTAGGACCATTCCACTGAAACTAAAACTAATTTTAAAATTAGGCAAATATATTTAGACAAAGCAATGCAAACCAAACTGTCAGAAACCTTTCTGCCACGTGGGAAAGAACTTCTGTGCATATTAGCAAGGGCACCCATAGTATCCTCTCTGATTTCTTATGCTTTCGCAATAGGATAGAGCCAGGACTGTTAAGCAGGTATAACAGCTCCTGTTATGGCCATCAGTGCTGGAAAGTGGGTCTGCTTCACTGGAGGAGTCAGGGCCCCATCTCATTAGACAGTGGAGGCTCTAAGATGATCTTGTGCCCAAAACATCTCCCCCAAGGGAAGAAAAGACCTTTTGGGTAGTGATGACTGTGGTTGGGTTTTTAATACAGAAAAGGCACGTGGCTCCCTGCGCACAACCTCAGTCAAATGCTTACCTGGGAGAAGTGGGGCAGGAAGACAGTTAAAAGTGTGTTTGGCCTCTTCAGCCCATGCAGTGGTGAACCACTGATGGGGTGTCCCGTGAGGTGGCTGCGGTCATACACTGATGGCCTCTGCCCGCCCTCCTCCCCGTGCCCGGAGCCAAGCAGCTCTGAGCTCTCTGACCCAGCTGTCCCTTGCAGTCCTGTGGGCCCACATCACAGATGGCTCTTAGGGAGACAGGTCACCTCCTGAGCACGTCCTCCTGCCCTGCAGCAAACCGGCACAGGTGGTTGACTCTCACGGCATGGCATGCCAGCACAGGCCTCGCTTGCCATGAGTTGAACCCTGGCCAGCCAGAGCAGCCATCCTCAGATCTGTGGCCAGTTCATACTTCCTACCTCACAGCTTGCAGGCAGTCTTTCCAAGCTTTCTCCTATTTCCAGGGCACAGGGTGATCAGAAGGCAGCGCCGAGTGGGTGCGTCCTTGTGTTGCGGCTAACATCCCTCATGGGGCATCTCAGGCTCTTTCGGCTTCCCCAGGGACCCTGTGTGAACCTGCCAAGCATTAATCATCATGGCACGTGGCCTGAGCATTCACTCAAACATTTATAACCTCTCTTAATACCCAGGTTGTTGCAGTTGCTTTCAGGACACTCCATGTAATCCATCTGTCTGGCCACATTTGCAAAGCCATCTCATGGGAGAGCCCAAAGGACCTCTGCTCCTGCAAGGGGGAGGTCTCGGTGCTCAGGAAAGCATGTGGCTAGCTCGACACAGGTCAGGAGTTCTGTGGAGCCTACCTGGGGCACAAGGATAACTCTTTGCAGGATCAGAGAACTGGAAAACCTTTTCGACATGCCAGTTCAGCCACCCAAGGCGCGGGTATACCCCAAAGTGTCCTTGTTCCCATTTTGGCAAATGGATCCAGCTCCCTTCCTGGGATCAGTTCAGCAGTGCTGACTGCTGGGCTTGCCACAGGTCTGGCAGGTGGCATTTTTCACCCCTCCGCCCCTGCACAGCCTATAAAACCTGATGCATTCCTCCTCCACGGCTGCTCCCTTAATCCAGCTTCTGGGATGCACTACATAAGTGATGACTATTAGCACTAGCTGGGCAGTCACTGGGGGAGCTCGAGTGAGAGGGGTGAGTCCCAGCACAGTGGAGCCAGGATGCCTTGCTTGGAGAAAAGCTCTAAGCACAGTAGGTGGATGTTTTCCCCTTGTTCTCACCTTTGAGTGGTCCCTGCTGCCTGGGGCTCTCGGTGAAGCCTGGGGGAGAGGGGCTGCTCCCACCTCTGCCTGCCATGGGGTGACTTCAGACACTGCTTTGTAAGTTGATCCATGTAGGGGATTGCCCCAGGAGAAGCCGATCCGAACCAAACTACCTGATGTGAGGGCTATCTGAGTCCCAGCTGGAACAGCAATGCCAAATTAGGCATCCCTACACTGAAACAGAGATAGAATCTGATCAACAGTGATGCTTCAGCTCTCGATTGCATTACTACCGAATATTTGCTTTTCGTCATTGGTGAAGGTAGCTTATCTTGAATGCAAATAAGCAGATGAAATGGAAGATGAGACAGCCAGGCCTCTGTGCAACAACTGTCAGACTTTTCTGCTTCTGCAGGCAGAGAGCATGAAAAACATTCAGCCAGAATATCAGTTCCTACCGAGCTGCTGGAAGTAAAGGGCTTTAATTTGGGGCAGTGTTAAAAATAGAGTTAAAAATATAACTGTTAGGGCAGCAACAATACTGACTTTCTCTCTCTCTTTTTTTTTTCCTGCCTAAAAGATGACCTAAAAGAATTTTTCTTTGCAAGTGCAAAGGAAGTCAGGAAAACCATCCTGGGCCCTCTTTCTCCCAGGTGTAGTCTGCTGGCGAATATCAAGGCTGTTTTACAGAGGATGCTACCAGAGAATTCCCACCAAGTGGCTTCAGGGAGGTTGCACATCTCCCTCACGCGGGTGGTAGATGGCCAGAACGTCATGGTCTCCGAGTTCAGCTCCAAGGAGGAACTCATTCAGGTAAAGGGACCTTCCTCTGAAGCCTGCAAGAAGACTTCCTGCTACTCCTTTGGGGAGGAGGTCCTGTAAGCACTGATGACTTCAGCTGCATTGTTTTCTACGCGAGGCAGGAAAAGCGTTGGGCAGCCCCGTCACAGCGAGCTCTGTCAGGCCCGAAGAAGACTAGAAGTATGCAGAGGGAGATGCTGCTGGGTCCAGAGCCTGGCAGGAGTAAATCATGCTAAAAGAGCAGAAGGTTTGCTTTCAGCCTCAAACTGCTCATGTCAGCATGTTGTTCAGCTCTAATAAGTGCTAATGACTCCGTGCAAAGAGCTGGGTTAATGCTAACATGACCTCTGAGCTTTTTGGATGGGTCTCTCCTTGGCCAAGTCCAGCAGTAATTTCCCTTGTTGCCTCAGCACTTTCCTGGGAGGAAAGCGCTGCACAAAAAGTCTGGGTTGCCAAACCACCAACAGCTGACTAACCAGTGAATTAGCTGCTGGGGAAAGAATCCCAGCACAAAACCCTAAAGGAGCTCGCCAAGAGATTCTAGGCTTTATTGCCTTGGGGAAATGGTAGAGGACAGCAAATATATGGAGACGCTGAAATTCAACTAGCAGTGCCTGCCCTAGGTTAACCCCTGAAACCCATGTGGCTAGTTACAACCAAAGACTGACTCCCAGCTTAAGAGACTGGTGAGGAATGGTTTCAAACTGTTCAACAGGATGGTTTGGCCATTGAAAAATTCCAAGAGTCAAAATGTTTTGAGAGAATGTCTTGGTTTTGTCCAAAATGACCCAAATGTTTCATTTTTCTGAGGTCAAAGAGCAGCGTTTGGACAGTGAAATACAGATATAGAACTATAGGATTGCTGGCAGCTATACAGTGAAAAATGATGTGCTATGCCCTTATCAAGAGAAGCTTTTCAGTTTTATTGAAATTAGATGTTTTGGCCTTCTTGAAACTTTTCCTCTTCACACAGTCATGTGCAAAGTCCAGGTGGTACCAGCAACCAGGCTCCAGTGATTTGTCAGCCTGAATTTGCAGGCAATCAGTCAAACAGCACTTTGTCCAGGAGAACTTTTATAGAAATGCATACTTTACTGCAACCCTTCTGTAATCCCTCTCTCTCGAAGGCTCTCCTCTGCAGCTGCTTTCTTCCTATCTACTGTGGATTCATCCCTCCGTCCTACCGAGGTGTGGTGAGTGCTATTTCCAACAAAATATATGCTCTCAGCAGCATGTTATTGGGTTTAAACTTTACATTCCCTTGAACAAAGAGGGCTATATATGTCTAGGCATCTTCTTAGGTAACAGAGGCACATTCTTCATCCCAACCTAAGATTATAGCTTTGTTGAATTGCCATCTGGAGGGCCCTCTCCTTCTGCTTTGCTGACTGACAGAGCCTGGATGACTGGTCATGGCACTTGCCTTGCAGATCTCCAAAGTAAGATAACGCCCATGCTTGGGACGCACAATCCAGTTATCCAAGGCAGGATTTGTCTGCAGTGCAGATGTCTCCATTAGCTCAGGTGCAGACGTGCTTGACTGAAATATCAAAAGTTTGTGGGAGGCATCCTCCCCCAACTGCGTGCCTATTCATACTTTGTGAAACCCCACAATAAGACAACAAATTGGAGCTAGCTTGTAGCTAATCCTCAGTAAAAGAACACAGCACTTTCCATTTTCCATGCAGTGTGATGGTTACGTGTCTGCAGATGGACACCTACCACAGGGCAGCTGATGCGTGGTAACCTGCCTGTGTGTCAAGGCCCACAAAGCCACACTACCAGATTTGCAGCTGCTATAAAATTGGGCTATCTCCCAGACTTGTGTCAGCCTGCACTGACTGAGCCTATTCAGGCCAATGAAATCTGTAACTGGCTGCCAGGTCAGATCTCCATCTTAACCCAGACTGCAGAACGTGTTCACCAAGTCCACAGAGCATGCAGGACCCATGGCTCCAAGACATTACTGTGCAAGGCTCCTCTACACTTCCATTTCAAGAGCATTTAATTTGATCAGCTGCAGTCCTTGCAACTTCAAATCCCATTGAGATGCGTGGTAAATTCAGATTCCTGTCAGAATTGCAGGA